CTGCCACATCAACAGTTATTTTACTTTTTGTTATTTCGGCAAAACGACCCTTGGTTTCCACTGTTGTGATGACAACCTATACTTCTTTGGTACTTGGTATATGCCAACGTAGTAGAGACTTTGTAATCGCAGATACCAATTATAATACACCAATGACTAATACTTGCATCAGACGTCTTTAAATAATACTAGTAGTAATAGTACTTCGTATAGTGAGAAGAGAATAGTAGTCCGAATAGTATAGGGGATAGAGAAGAAATAGCGAATACACAGTAAGAGAGGATAGACAAGAATAGCAAACTACGGTGATTACTCGTTCGCCCACGAGGACGAGATGTGACACAAGGTCTTTTTAAAGTAGGGACCCGAGCGCGTGTATCCGGGCAAGGGACAAAAATTGCCCTTAACCCCAGCAACCGTCTGGTGCATTGGGAGGGCGCGGCCTCGGGCAGCTGTTCCCCAGGGCTGGGCACCTCTTCAGTATTATTTTCTCAGTTGCCCCCTCTTGTGCTTTGACAGAGAAGCCCCTGAGCGCACTCTACCCAAAGACAGAGACGCAACTGAGAGATGATAAATAATGCATACAAATTACTTTATAGTAATTTATACGCTAAGAATAGCAAAAATACATCTAGACGTCAAGCGACTACTTATATATATATATATATATATATATATATATATATATATATATATATATATTATATATATATACGTTTTCTCTATGGTGACGTGATCTACCTAGTTTAATGAGGGCGATCTACATTCAAACACAAGTGTCAGTAGTGACACTTTATTCCCCATATAACAATTTTTGACACGTCTTCTATTTGCCATAAATAAAATAAATAAATAACAGTAAAATCAAAGATAAAATAAAATAAACCGATACGCCATTTTGGAGAGGAAATAAAAGTACTAATAGTAACTGAGAAAGTAAACGATATTTTATAGGTTTTGTTTTTAAACGATAAGGAATCAGGACTGGGATGACATTATTATTATTATTATTATTATCAACATTGTTACTATTATTATTATTATTATAATCATGAGCAGTACTTAAGTTTATGTGACTCTGAAGCATCCGTCGGCCTTTAGAGACCCTGGATCTATGCCCGCTGTGTTATGCCATTTCCAGGGTGCAGGCCTAGGCAGGGCTTTTATGAGAGATTGCCGCACGTCTTCCCTCTTCACGCCATCGATTTTGTCCCAGGCGTCGTCACAGGTGTTACCACTACGAAATTGACCATGACATCAGACTATCTTAGGGACACCGGCACCGGATTTCAGTGGTCCTTTTCCTAATCTGGTTGCAAACCACGGCTACACTACTGTTTTCCCATAGTTGAAAGTTTAGAATTCAGAGTTTTTCCTTCTCTTAGACCGGTCGCCACCCAAGGCTATATAACCTAGTCTATTTACCTAATGCTGGAGAAAAATGAGATAGATTCATACCTATTAGCACGTAAGTGAATGTAAGGAACTCGACTGGAATTCGAACTCTGCTCTCCGCTTTCTCAATCCGAGCCGCAATCCATTACTCCACCATGCCTTCAACACTGAAGTATTTAGTATTTATTAACTTTACGGCCTGATTTGTTTTTATAATGGATTCAGGCTACTTGACGTCACTGATTTCATTTTAATTCCAGATATATGTTTCTGTTTTGGAAATATTTTTCCTCCTGGTAGAGAATATTGATTTTCTGCTGAAGATCAGTCTTGTTCCAACTGTGTATACCTATGTCATCAGCACAGCCTTCTTCATCTTCAGTACAATATAGGCCATGAAATTAAAATGAGTTAACTAATTAAAATGAGTTAATATTTATATAAACTTTGAATAGTTAACATTAAATATTTGAATGGAGCTTCTTTTTAAATTACGCATCATTTTTAAATATATGTTATTTCTTGACGAAAATGAATCCCTTTTTCTTTGTAAATTCATCACTGAAATCTCCATTTATCTCAATCAATGTTTTGATTAAGATTTTCTAAGCTTAGCTTAGATATGGCACAAAACCAACAGTCGTGAGCACCCAGTGAGGATCATATATATATATATATATATATATATATATATATATATATATATATATATATATATATATATATATATGCCTTTTAAATTCCTTGAGGAACATAGGGACGCAAGATATCCTTGCGGTTTCTGTAACAAGCCATTTTTTTAAGTGAGTAGGTTGTTAGCCTACTACACAGATTTTGAATACAAAGTTGTCCTTCTCGTAGACCAGTTGCCACCCAAAGCTATAGAACCCAGTCTATCCTGCTATTTACACATAGCTGGGGGGAAAGAAGAGGATTCATACCTTTCCCAAGAGTATTAGCACGTAAGTGAATGTGATGGATTTGACTAGAATTCGAACTCCGATTGCTCAATCCTTTCCTCCATCTCTGTGCTAAGTCCACTGTGGAAGTTATCAGAGCTATACGCGTATTCTGAGTATTTCATTTATATTTGCCTCCAGTGTTTTACTCAGTGTTCCTCATCTTGACTTTATGTGCCTCCTCCCAGTGAGGATCATACTCAGTAGTAATTGTTCTAGTGAGACAAGCTTGCTAAACGTTACACCACCTTGAGGCGCCCAAACTCATTTAAATATGTTTCCTTACCTGAAACGCACACGTAAATAAATTAAATATTTTAAAAAGTCTCCTATATTATTCTTTTTATTTATTTTAATATTTATATTTTAATCGTTTTTTAATTGTATTTTTATTTTTGTTGTCCCACATTCCCAAAATCAATTTCCTGGCTTGAAATAAAATTCAACATTAAACAAACTGACCTGGCAAACATTCATTATTGAAAATAAGTAAAAATCAAATTAACGTAAAGGTATTTTAAAACGATACTTAATATTAGAAAAGCAGTATTTATATATAACAGTTATCTCCCTTTGATTTTTGTTTGGCTTTTCCGGTGAAATGAATCATTTAAAGAGGCGAAGATTTGATTTAAACACTTTCGATGACGCCAGTTTTCTTATGAAGAGGAACCGATCATAATATGGAGGAAAAAAGGTTGGTCATCAGCGTCTCTGGAATGGAGTCAAAATAAAGAACGGAGTAAAACACTGTAGGGAAACATAAATGAATGACTCAGAATACGTATGTGGCTCTGACAACTTCCACGGTGGATTTAGCACCCTTTTCAGGAGACTCTGTTCAAGAAAGGACATTCCACAACATGAGTATAAACATTAGGTTTTAGCCCCCAAAATCTATACCTCAAGGTTGGGTGAATAGATTAAAGTTTTGGTTAAATCATATCTGGTCTCTTGGCAGTTGTGAGTTCAATCTCTAAGATGGGTAATGCGGAACATGGGATTGGTTCACTGAAAGAAACCGATGCGCAACATAAGTGTGACTAGGTGAGAGTATTAACGAGTTATCTTCCAATGAATGAAATACCGTAATTCCCCATGTATAATACGCATTCATCCATAATACGCATCCCTAAAATTGTGCTGAAAGTGTGGGAAAATGCTTCTACTCGTGCATAATACGCACCGCTTGTTTGATAATCAAACCCTATAAATTCTACCTCTCCAATTTCATTACGACCAGCTTCTCCTACTCTTATTTAAAAAATGGTTTTAAACATAGAATAATATTATTCTAATTTAGTTTTATGATACTTCTTATTTTATTATACATTTGTAAGTATTGTTAGGTACATATGATTGTATTTGACATCATTATGGGGTCACAATCGCCGAGTGTTAGTGTCAAATTGTCGTATGTTTGTGATGAGCAGTCATTTCGCAATTGAAATTGACCTATGAAACGACAATTTTTAAATAACGGTTTGTGTTCAAAATTCCGAGAAAGTTGCCGAATGTGAGAAACATCTGAGGACAGAGTCAACGATATACACTAATCTTAATTCCTTATCTCGGGATTTGGACTTGAAGCAAAATATAAAAAGAGGAAAAAAGAATGAAAAAGAAATAAAAAATGAAGGAGAAATAGAAAATAATAATAAAGAATAAGTGAAGAGAAATAAAGAAGTATAAAATATAAAGAAGAATAAAAAAGAATTGAAGAAAAAGAAATAATGAAAAAAATAAAAAGGCAAATGAAGAATGAAAAAGGATTTAAAAGATCAAATGAAAGATAACAATAAAAATAGAATGAAAGAATGATATGAAAGAATTAAACAAAAAGAAAACCAAAAAGGAATGAAAGAATAAAGAAAATAGAATAATGAAAATGAATGAATGTATATTAAAAAAGGAATGAAAGAATAAAAGTTAAAAACAACGAACAGGAACTAAAGAACAAAAAGTAATGAAAGAAAAATAATTTAAGAATGAAAAAGAAATACGAATGAAAAATAAGCAATAATAAAACATAATGAAAGAATGAAAAGGAATATCAAAAATGAAAAAAATAAAGAAACGGAATTATATAATAAAAAGATGAGAAATAAAGTGTAATGAATAATAAAGAGAATTGAAAGCGAATTAAAAAGAAAGAACAAAATTAATGAAAGTAAAGAAAGAAGAACGAAAGAGAATGGAAGAAAGAAGCAAGATGAAAAGAATGAAGAACGGAAAGAAATAATGAATGAAAAAGAATTGAAAAATGAAGCCAGATGAAAAGAAAGAAGAAAGAAAAAGAAATAAAGAATGAAAGACAATTGAAAAATGAAGAATGATTAAAAGACAGAAAGAAAAAGAAAGAAAGAATGAAAAAGAATTAAAAATGAAGTCACATGAAAAGAAAGAATATGGAAAAGGAAATAAATAAAGAAAAAAATAAAGAATGAAAATCAATTAAAAAACGAAGCCACATTAAAAGATAGAAGAAAAAGAGATAAAAAAACGAAAAAGAATGAAGCCAGATGAAAAGAAAAAAGGAAATAAACAATGAAAAACAATTAAAAATGAAGAATGATGAAAAGAAAGAAGAAAAAAAAATAAAGAACGAAAAAGAATTAAAAAAATGAAATTCAATTAAAAATGTAGTCAGATTAAAAGATAGAAGAAGGAAAACGAAATGAAGGATGAAAAAGAATGAAACCAGATGAAAAGAAAGAAGAAGGGAAAAGAAATAAAGAATGAAAGGCAATTAAAAAATGTAGCAAGATAAAAAGACTGAAGGAAAATAAATAAAGAACGAAAAAGAATTAAGGAATGAAAAACTGAAGACTGATGAAAAAAGAGAAAAAAAATAGCAAAGAACGAAAAACAATTAAAATGAAGACAAATGAAAAGAAAGACGGAAATAGAAATAGAGAACAAAAAAGAAATAAAGAATTAAAAAGGATTAAAACTGAAGCCAGATGAAAAGAAAGAAGAAGGAATATGAAATAAAGAATGAAAAGCGAAAAAACAAAAAACGATGCTAGACGAAAAGAAAGAAGAAGGGGAAAAGAACGAAAAAGAATGAAAACTGAAGCCAGATGACAAGAAAGAAGAAAGAAAAAGTATTAAAGAATGAAAGACAACTGAAAAATGAATCAAGATTAAAAGACAAAAAGAAATAAAGAATGAAAAAGAATTAAAAATGAAGCCAGCTGAAAATAAAGAAGGGAAGAAAAGAACGAAAACAAATTAATGAATGAAAAAACTGAAGCCAAATGAAAAGAAAGGAGAAAGAAAAAGAATGAAAAACAATTAAAAACTGAAGCCTGATTAAAAGAAAAAAGAGAAAAAAGAACAAAAAAAGAAAAAGACTGAAAATGAAAGAAGGACGCGAAAAGACAAAATGAAAGGAAAACTGTAAGGTTGTGACAAATTTCGACAAACACTTCAGTGAAATACTAAACTTGTTTTTACCGGCGTCAACACCACTCTTACCACTTATCTCTTTTCGCTCTGTTCAGTTCAACCAAAGCTGAAAGTTGACGCTGAGGTCGGTCGTTGTCGGCTAGCCTCTTAAATTTCACAGACAGATGTCATTTATCAACGTCCAATCATCGACGTCATCACTCAATACAAACCGTTTAATTGACCTCTACCCAGTGAAAACCCATCCAACCCAGCCGGTCGTCTTAGACGACCGAACCCTCCTCCGCTTCATGACAGCCTGTCTTGTTTGTGCTGCTCCACAACTGCTTCGTGCGTATGACGATGGTGAAGCGGCTCAGGACATCAAAGGCGCGAATTGGTGGCTTTGGGTCATTCGCTGTCATCTGTCCAATTATGCAAATTAGTGCACGGGCGAGAGGCTATACAGGAAGATTTAAGACGAAACGGCAGTGTGGTTAGAGAGAAAGGATCGCGCCTTTATGTCTCTTCTCTTCCGGTCATCCCGACGTTCCATTTGTGCTTGTTCCGTGTCATCATCTTGTCACCTTGCTGGGATTGCTGGCAGCAATGATGACAAAGTGAACGCACACCAGTTTGTATTATTAATGATGGCAAACAAAAGTAGCGGAAATTTGTAGATGACCGAAGACTGGAAGACTAAACGGAAACTAGATACCTTTCGTAAGGCGGTGATAAAGAAATTCATACAGATGATGGAGGCACGGTGTAGTAATAGATAGACGTTCGGATTGAGGAATCGGAGTGCCGAGTTCGAATTCCAGTGGAATCCATTACAATCACTTACGTGCTAATACCCTCTTCTTTACCCTCTAGCTATGGGTAAAATAGCAGGACAGACCGGTTTCTATAGCCTTGGATGGTAATTGGTCTACCGCAGAAAGAAATGGCAACCTACTGCGGGAAAAATATCTGCCTCGTCAGTCATGTATCGAAAGTTACATGATCGCCTAACCGCGTATCACGCATGTCACATAACTGATTGACTGATGCGCTAATACCCTTGGGAAAGGTATGAATCCTCTTCTTCTTCTCTATAGCAGGACAGACCGGGTTCTGTAGCCTGGGATGGCAACTGGCCTACCGCAGAAAGAAATGGCAACATACTGCGGGAAAAAATTTCTGCCTTGACTGTCATGTATCGAACGTTACATGATCGCCTAAGCGTGCATCCCCCCCCAAGCCATGGGTAAATAGCAGGACAGACCGGGTTCTATAGACTTGGATGGCAACTGGTCTACCGCAGAAAAAATGGCAACATACTGTGGGAAAAAATCTGCCTTGTCAGTCATGTATCGAACATTACATGATCGTCTCAGCGTGTAACATGCATGGCACATAACTGACTGACTGATGCGATAATACCCTTGGGAAAGGTATGAATCCTACTCTTCTCCGCGCCCCAGCTATGGATAAATAGCAAGACAGACCGGGTTCTATAGCCTTTGATGGCAACTGGTCTACCGCAGAAAGAAATGGCAACCTACTGCGAGAAAAAAATCTGCTTCGTCAGTCATGTATCGAAAGTTACATGATCGCCTAAGCGTGTATCAGGGATGGCACATAACTGACTGATTGATATTACACTCAACTTCAACTTTGCGCCCGGTAGCCGAAACCAGCTTTTTCATCGATATTTTAGGAACAGCTAGCAACACACCAGCATTTTCACTATTAGCTACCTCTCTATGCCTCAAGGGGAGATAAGAATTTACTGAAGTCGAACTGCATAAGTGTGATGGCTGCAACTTTTATATTCGATCATTCATTAATAAATTGTCTATAGCTTTATCAACAGAGTCTGTTCATTCTGCTAGAAATTCACTGCCTTTCAGAAATTCGCCCAAATTGAGAAAGTCGCTAGGATCGTAACATTGCCTGGTGTAAATGTTTTGTTGGAGCGAATACGATAAGAGGTCATATAATTCATCTCAGCAGGTACACAGCGCAGAGAAAGATTTCCACTAGACTACACAGGTCTGGTAAGGTGGGGGAACGACGGAAATAGCAACACCCAATTCACGCATCTGTCACCAAAGTGTAATACATCGAACTTTGTCGTGTATCGAATCGTCAGTCATGTATCGAACGATACATGATCGCCTAAGTGTGTATCACGCATGGCATATAACTGACAGGTGATGACGAGTGACGTTGATCTTTTTTTGTTCTTCCAATATTATAGTTCTGTGATAAGCGAGGTAAATAAGCTAAAAGGTGCTTGCTTTAAAGCAATGATAAGCAAACTGGCCATCAGCTAGTGCACAGATTTATTTTCTCATCAATATTGATTGATTCTTTTTTTCAATCATTTTACTCCAAGCAACGCAATAAAGCCAATAGGATGCAAGGAGTTACTGAGTGTTTGAAAATATGAGGAAAAAAAAAACTACTATTAACGAGAGAGGACAATAAAAGGACATGAATTAAGAAAGCCGACGATGACGATTGACATTGCATTTTCATTTTTCAAGATCAAAGATAACTAGGAAGCAAGAAGCCGAAAGAAAGTTCCACAAGCGAGAAGTGTGATAGAAGAAACTCGTAGTATAGAACTTACGGTTTGAAGAAGCAATTTCAACTGTAAAATAATGAGACCTTGCCGCCAATCTAGTATTGCGTTTAAATTCATTAAGTCTATGTACCCTAGGGTAAAGTTCATCAGAACAATTACCATGAAAGTATTTATAGCAAAGGCATATGGAAACTTTGTATTTTATGGATTATCAACCCATTGAAGGGTATTTAAAGCCATATTAGATTGTAAGGATTTTTTTTTAGATAATAATGATTTATCCTAAATGTAGCCGCTAGTGACCCTCTGGCGTGCCGCCGATGGCAACGCCAGTGGTCCTCTTGTGGCAGCCACCGGTAGTCCTTTAGCCGTCCGCAAGAGGTAACACGCCGGCTGTCCGACAGCGGGCCACCAGTGTTTAAACGCTAGCGGCATGCCACCCACTGGCAGATTGGTGGCGTGTGTGTAGGGTAGTTATACAATGTTTATTAATTAAGCCCTAGCTGGGGGAGAAGAGGCAGATTTATACATTTACCAAAGGCATTTACACGTAAATGAATATAGCGAACACAACTAGAATTGGAACTCAACTAGCCATTATCCACTACACCACCCGCACATCCAAGCTTACAGCACCTATTATTTTCAAGCGGTCACCCATGTATAAACTGACCAGGCTCGACATTGCTTAACTTAGGTTAACTGATTGACGTGATATTATATTTCAACGCGATATAGACATAGGTCTCATCAATACTAAAGACTTTTGCTGTACTAAGACAGTCTTAGTAAATCTGGACGAGCTAAAATGATTACTGAGCCAGTTAAAGAGATTTATAGCTTGTGCCAGATTAGCTTAAGTCCGAGGGCGGGTCGGCGTAAATCAGTGATTATTAATTTAGAGTATATACAATCAAAAGGAGATGGGTACGAAATGTTTTTCGCTTTATTTCTTTTGAAAGATGAAATCAGATGCTTAAAAAAAATCATCATTTAAAATTTTTCTCTAATGAGGAAAGAAGGCCTAGGAAATTTGACACACACAAAACATATTGAAGGCAAAAGGGACAGAAGAAAAACAGCGTATAACCCCTGCTTTATTTCTTTAGAACGATGAAATCAGATACATAAAAAATATAATTTACATTACATAAAATCAAGGGTCAAAAATGGATTCTGAAATAAATATACTAGAAAACTACTGGACATCATATTAAAAAATCTTGCAAATTGTGCAAGACACCTAATGGTGTTCCTTGGTAAGAAAAATACCTTGGGTTTCTCCACTCTCAAATGTTGACATTAGGCATTAGTATTATTAGTATATATTATTATTATATACTATATTAGTCGGATCCGGTGCAAGGGTTTCGTGCAACCCGAATCTTTGAGACGGGTCTCCCCACTCTTCTATATCGGAAGTTTCATAAGGTAGTAATAATATAAAATACACATTTTATTGTAACCTAATTATGTACAATAATGGATCAGTAAGATATCTTTAATCATTTCTTAGATACAACGGTTCAGAGCTTACAGACCATCACTGACATGCCCAACCCTTCAGTTAAACTCCACCCTATCACAACATTGCAGTCATAGATTGTGTGAACGACAAGGGCTTATAAAGCCAGCCATAGATCTGCATTTCTTGTCACATATGTGGCATATCAAATCCTCTCCGGGTGGTGGAAAGTGCCTTTTCATTTGACTTGCCTGGCAGAAGCTGGACTTGCACACCCTAGTGCAGGTCGGGCATTCATATGCAATAGACTGTTGGTGTTGGTGTGATTTCTGGTGACTGAGCAGACCCGCCCTGGACAGACATATCTGATTGCATTGGGCACATCTAAAAGCAAATGCATATATACAAGCGGCTGTAAGAGAAGCTATACATTAAGTATTACAACAGCATTAGATGTACTTTATGTATGTTTCTAGGATTCATTTGAAATTGGAATCCATTTCATGTTTATTATTGATACGGTGGAGTAATGGATAGCGGCTCGGATTGAGAAATCGGAGAGCCGAGTTCAAATTCCAGTCAAATCCATTCCATTCACTTACGTGCTAATACCCTTGGTAAAGGTATGAATCCTCTTCTTCTCACCCCCAGCTATGGGTAAATAGCAGGAGAGACCAGGTTCTATATCCTTGGATGGCAAATGGCAAAAATCTCGGAGAAATGTTTCTAGGATTCATTTAATATGAGAATTCATTTCATATGTGTATTATTGATATGTTTTGTATAATCAATACGTTTTGTGCGCACGTTTTGCTTTTCATTATTGTATACTTACTTTTGCATTCCGCTGTATGTGTACTTTTACAATAATGTTCATTGTTCAAAAGGCCCAAGATCCACTCGAAATAGAAGTTTACAGAGTAAGAGGTATAGTTTTGATGATATGTGGGGAAGATAAACGTATTAGTCCGTATACAAATATATAAACCCGCAGTCTCCCACGACGACATCCTAAACCCAATAGACCCAATGAATCAAATCGGAAAAGCAAGGAACCCCCCCTGTATCATATAAACATATGAATTCTTAACTAGTCGGGCCTGAGTTACGGGAGTAACGTGTGTGAGAGTAGATTACTGCATATACACGAGCAGCCACGACAGTTATCCAAAATTTGACTATCGTTGCCAGTACCTCGGTGCCAACAGTGTAATTGGATCCCGAGAACGTGGAGAAAATGGGGCGGTTTTTACTTTTTTTTAATAAATTATTTACCACAAGCAAGGCAATAAAGCCACTAAGACGCAAGGGAGTTACTCAGTAAAGGATAATATGAGGAAAGGAAATATTAAGGAGAGAGAACAATAAAAGAACAGGAATTAAGAAGTCGGGAGATAACGATTGACATTGCATTAACATTTTTTTTAAGATCAAACGACCGGAAAGCAATAATCCGGAGATATAAACGAAAAGTGTAGGAGAAGACACTGTTAGCATAGAACTTACGGTTCCATCTAGCTATTCCAAGTATAAAATGAAGAAACCTGGCCGCCGATCTAATACTGCGCTTAAATTCATAAACCCTAGGTACCATAGAGGAAAGCGATATTTATTCTGTTTTCTACAGAAATGTGGCACAAGGCCGAAAAGGGGATTGGGGAAAGGACGGTCTTCTTCTGTCTTAACTATAACTTAGCTAGCCACAAGCACTGACCCAATCGTACGAACAATATTCCTTACACCAAAACAACACATTCATACGTACCTTTCTTACTACAACCACCATAATACCTCTTTGTCTCTATGAAAATACTAACTAGTCCCTATATTTACAATTCATAGAGGAAAGCTCATCAGAACAATTACCGTGAAAGTATTTATAGGAATGGTCCAAGGAAGCGGTGGAAAAGGGACTAAAGCTGAGATGCCAGATCAGGATCAATAACATTGCAGATTCGTCTTTATATTTTATCTAGAATCTTTAATTATATAGCAGAAGCACTAAACCGTAAGTAACGGCTATATTTAAAGCCTTTATAATTAGGTATTTTTCAACAATATGCCATAGGTGTATAGTGACATTGCGAATATAAAATTAAACAACAATTACTCAAAAATGCATTAGCCTATTAATGACTGTTTCAAGAGGAACCTCTAGCGACCTCTTCGTGTATCCTGGGGTTTCAGGGCACACCTCTTGCAGGTTTTGAGGAAAGTTGAACCACTTTTTAATTGCTAGTGTTCTCAGGTCCACTCTGACCCGAGATGGTAGCACTTGTTAGGATGCCAGCTATGGGCAAATAGTTGACCCCCAAACTGGTGTCAAAACATTATTAAAGTGTAAAAATAGGTTTTAATACAAGTAATACATTTTTGTAAATGATTATTACCAGGAATACATTTTTGAAGAAAAAATATTAGCACCAATACATTTTTGGAAAATAAAAATGTTTTTGGCATTAAATAACCCATTGAGGTTGATATGCCGTAAAACAAACCAAACCAAACCAAACCAAAGTACATGAAATAAAGGATGGAACGCAACTAGAAAGAGAGATAACAGCTACTGGACTTAAGAAACCCATTTGTTTAAAGAGGAAGATTTTATAAATTTCAATCGACAGTAGTACTGGCTGCTTTGTCAATAAATACCTTTTATTATTTTAGCGGCATATTAAGACCTCTATGGGTAATGGTTTTAGTGATACAAGTCCTATTAATTATCCCGTGACTGATGGCAGGAGAGTGGATTGATACCTTTCCGTGTGAATATAACGGACCCAACTGGAATTGAAACTCAACTCCCTGATTACAATTCTGAGCCATTATCCATTGCATCACCCTGATATCCATGCTTACAGAACCTGGCATTCCCAAGCGGTCACCTAACTACGTACTGACCTGAATCAACGTTGCTTAACTTCAGTGATCGTAGGGGAACTGCTGTTTCAACGTCGCATGGTCGTAAGCCCGCTGAATATTTATTTGTAAGAAAACAGCTAATTACCTTTACCATTAGAGATGAGGAGAACAGATACTACACTTTGATCCAAGTCCGACATCAAGGGAATGAAAAAAAGTTTTGAGGTGAGTAACACTAGATGCTCGGATAATGAATGCCGAATGTTTCCTTATAAGGAAACGGCTAATATTTCTATTACCATGAAGTTTTTTGGGAGTAGAAAAAATATTTTTATTAAGACAGCTAAACTGATAAAATTTGGCTTCGTCACTTGTAAAGGGGGCAGCATTTGGGAGAAAATTATGAAGAATATAGGAGAAGTGATCCTAAAAAATGGGAAAAGATTAGTTAAATAAAGATGACATTATTACCTGCCTTGCTTTCATAACGCCGTGAGAAAATGGGAGATTTTATTGCCACGATCTGTAATTTAAGTTCATGCTGTTTTAGCCGTAGAACACTGAAGTAGTTGAAATGTCGTTTGCTTGTTTGCCTCATGCTTGGACGTTCGGGCCTGAACAGCATTGAGTTGTTAATTTTTCCACATCTACTTTTGTGTGGTAAAATTTATGAGAAGAGAAAGAAAGAAAGAAATAGACAGGAGAAAAGACATCATTATTGTATGCCATATCGATGAATAATAAAATGGATAATAGTGAGAAGAAAGAATAATCTTGCTTATACGAAGAAGAATTTAATCGAAAGTAAAAGGTAAGAATGTGCAAAGATATATTGATACAGAAGAAAAAGCAGGAGAAAAAGTGGAATAGAATCAATCCTACGTCCACCTGCGCAAGCGCAGTTAGCATTTCTTGTCCACTGAGAGGTTAATCTGTTATTTTCCCACCTACTTCGTCTTCCTCGCTTCTATCAGGCATCGGGCGTATCTATGAGAAAAGGCATGCAACGAACAAGCACTTTAGCGGTCAAGATGATCCCGCCGACCCTCTGCCAACTGAAAGTTTGTCAGACATCTTCAGCACCTTCTGAAGGGCCTGACCTAAGCCACAGCACATTTGCACACTGAAAGACAGTCGGAAGGTAGCATTGGACAGTTTGTATGTCAGCAAGTGGAACAACAGAAGCGGGGATCAATGGAGCGGTCAGCGGTGCCATCAATGGACGACTACTGGCCTGTCTTCACCAATGACAACAACAGAGTACAGATCTTGACACCAGGGCTTGACCGCAATGGACAGTGCCATTCAACTATACAATACGTACGCATACATTGAGGACTGAGGGCCACGTCATATGCAAACGGGACAGTGAAACAAATAAACGTGAAAGAAAGGCTTGAGGCCAGAGAGAAGTTTGGTAAGGAAGGAGGGGAAAAAAGTTGGGAATTTGTTCCAGGAAAGAGGGGATTATTGATGGAGTTAATGGAGGATGTGGAGAGAGTAAACGAGGGGAAAAAAGGGGGAGAAAGATCGGTAAATGGAACAAAGAGAAAGAATCGCTTAAAATATTCGATAGAAAGCAAGCAAGCAATAAATAAATAAAATTACCCATAGAGAATATAAAAGGAAATGAATATTTACTAATATAGAAAACAAAAAGAACCCTACGTTCTAGGTTAGATATTTGCTTAATTCATACCACTGCCTTATGCCTGTGTCTGAGCACAAGTAATTCGAAAGTTGATTTTCAAAGCAATGATACACCATTTGCTAAAAAAAATAACCATTCTCTACAGCCGTGTGATAAACAAAACTAAATTTACCTATCACTTGGCCAGGATAGTTATACATTTCATACCAGTAGGCCAAGATATGCAGATATTTTCCATTGCGAAATTGGCGCAGTACAATCATCTTACTGCTATTTACATTTTTGCATTATTCAGATAATCTCTACTTTAATCGTTCTCAATCCGTAATAATGTTTTTCATTTAAATATATTATTTCACACTCAGTAACCCCTTGCATCTTAGTGACTTTATTGCCTTGATTGGAGTGAAAGGATCTTAAAAAAATCGTAAATTCATTTCTCATATAGTTACGAGAGAGCCGGTAGATAGAATTATATAGAGTATTATTATAGAATAATAGAAGTGTTGAAACAATATGGCTATTTTTGTAGTGATGTTATAACATGTTTATATTATAATTTTTGAATAAATAATATTGGCGTAATACAATCTTCAATTTTCATAGGCTTTGGATGAACTAAGCTAATCTTAAGAAATATATTCAAGTGATTTCGAATAATTTTCAATGTAAGCAGACAATGCTTATTGTAACATTGGTGCTACAGGCTCTTTCTCTCAATATTTGCATGTGTGTAAGATTAAAGGAAAGAAAATGAAATTGAAAAAAGAGAATATTTTGAAAGTAAAATGTATAAAAGAAACGTATGTATATATGTACATATGCGTGAATCTTATGAATCTATGTACGTGGGCAAGTATCTATGTATGTGTGTGTGTATGTGTTAGCATGTATATGCGTCTGTATTCATGTGTATGCATGCGTGTGCATGTATGCATATGTACTGTTGACCATGTCTGCCGTAGTCTCTGGATATAGAATCCAGTGAAGTCCGCAATGTGTTCATTATCATCGTAATGTGTTGGCAGTGAAGATACGGAGAAAGTAGCAGCTGTTAAGTAATTCTTTAAGTCTTCGATATCAGAGGTTGGCAGTGAAGATATTTTTGGAGAAAAACAAAATGGCTGCCTTTATACACGCCGGATTGAATATTTTGAGCTTTCTGATTGGTTAACCCTCCTATTGGTGGACTATAAAATGAGTCAGCTCATTTTGGCTAGCTCACTAGTACAAAAACAACCCAAAAATTCTAACATGTACATGTATGCACGTGTGTGTATTAATGTATAGATCGCACACGTTATTAACTTATGGTGTTAGTCCATGTGTGTGTGTGTGTGTGTGTGTGTGTGTGTGTGTGTGTTTGTGTGTGACAAGAACATTCTCTTTCACAACTCATTTCCAAAAATTATGATGAAGCTTAAATAAAAGCGAAACATGTTAAATTTATAAACGTTTCCTATTTGTTACTTATTCTATCAAAAGATTTTACCTAAGCTTAACATAAAACATGTCTCCGTGTATGTATGTATATATGCGTCAATGAATGTATCTAAGTGCATGAATGTATATATCTATGGATATATCTATTTATAGTATTTATGTTTATTATGTATATACGTATTATTATGTGTGTGTCTATCTGTGTATGCATTTATGTGAATAGGTATGTGTATGCATGTATGTATATATGTATGCATGTACTTGTATGTATTTATGCATATATTGCGTTGGCCAGAAATTTCGTTCACTTATTTTACTAGTATATTTACTTAATAAATCAACGAACCTTTTGGACTAACCAGTACGTGTACGTGTGCATGTATGTATATTTATTTATGTGCATATGTGTATGCATGTGTGTATCGTAGTTGTAGTAGGGTTGGCAGCTAGACTAATATATTTTAATTTGTTGGATTTGCCATAATGGCAGCTATATAAATATATTATTCAAGTATAGAATGGGCGTAGACGGAATAAAATTCCAATAACCGAAAACGCTATTCTTAAAAGAGTACTCAATACAGAGTAGAGCAAGTATTATTTATTCCAAAATTATGACATAAACATGTTATAACATCACTACAAAAATAGACATTTTGTTTCAACTCTTCTGGTGTCTTTTCAAGTGAGAAGACACCAGAAGTGTTGAAACAAAATAGCTATTTTTGTAGTGATGTTTTAATATGTTATAATTCTTGAATAAATAAATATATTATTCTATCTACCAGTTCTATCGTAACTATAAGTGAAAAGAATTTACGATTTTTTAAAATTCTTTCACTCCAACCAAGGCAACACAAGGGGTTACTGAGTGTGAAATAATATATTTAAAAGAAAAACATTATTAAGGATTGAGAACGATACAGGAACAGAAACTTAGAGGACAGAAGACTGGCATTGCATTTAAATTTTGGAAGTTCAAAGTTGGCTGGAAAGCATGGAGCCCGAAAGGATTTCCCCAAGCGAGGAGTACGAGAAACAAAACTGTTAGCATAGAACTTGCGGTTACATCTAGCCAATTCAGCTGTAAAATGGTGGGACCTTTCAGCCAATCTAGTACTGCGCTTAAATTCATAAAGTTTAGGTACCATAGAGAAAAGTTCATCAGAACAATTACCACGGAGGTATTTAATAAAATTTTAAAAAAAGTGAAGCTACGGTGGTGGTAAATTGACTGCAGCCGAGATGCCAGATCAGGACTAATGACATTGCAGATTTTTCTTTAGATTTCACCAAGGGTCTCTAAATGTATTTGATATGTCCCGGAAGGGGATATATTTGAACGAAGTAGCTAAGTGGTTTTGGCTACTATAACCAAGTAGAATACGGTAGCAGTAATCGACTGGTACGCGTCGTAGTCGCAGGTAAGAAGTGTACATCAATGGCGTAGTCCGATGGGCGTCGTTATAGACTTAGCTCTCAGACTAAGGCTCTTGACTTCTTCTGACTCTCCTAAACGTCCATCGATATTTATGACGGACACCAGCCAATCACACTCCCGTGAGGGGGAACACAGGTGTATGCATATTCCATTATATCAGTATTGCAAAAGCACCAAACCATATGAGGTGGCTATATTTTATTCATGGACGAATGGTAGACTTATAAATATGTAAGATAGATTCCATCGAGGAAAAATTCCTAGCACCACAGAATGAACCAATTTTTGCAATGGTAGACCCTAGCAATTGATTCAATATAATCTTTCCGCTTCATTTCAGCTGATAAATGCTAGCCCGAGAAGACACAACTAGTCAATCTGAAGGAGGTTAGCATCAGCCATTTTAATGGAACGCAGACAGGAGTCTCTGAGACGATTAAACAAGAGTAGCTTCGTTTTGAATACGTTATTGGAATCAAATAAGGATTAGAAACCGACAAAATGATAAAATAAGGAACAAATAGGAAATCTTTATGAATTTAACATGTTTCGTTTTTAGTATCTGTCTATATTTCTGAGATGAGGTATTGTGTACACTATTTACATTATTCGAACTGTTGTCCTCATCTTTGTTGCCATATTTATCCAATCCTTCAGTATCTGTCTATATTTCTGAGATGAGGTATTATGTACACTATTTACATTATTCAGACTATTGTCCTCATCTTTGTTGCTATATTTATCCAATCCTTCAATATCTGTCTATATTTCTGAGATGAGGTATTATGTACACTATTTACATTATTCGGACTATTATCCTCATCTTTGTTGCCATATTTATTACAACGTTACGGCCCTTCAATATCTGTCTATATTTCTGAGATGAGGTATTATGTACACTATTTACATTATTCGGACTATTGTCCTCATCTTTTTCGCAATGTTTATCACAACGATTCGGCCCTTCAGTATCTGTCTATATTTCTGAGATGAGGTATTATGTACACTATTTACATTATTCGGACTATTGTCCTCATCTTTGTTGCCATATTTATTACAACGTTTCGGCTGTTGTACGCCCCAGCCTTCTTCAGCTGGTTGGAATGTAGAATTGAACCCTTTATTTCGCTCGCTGGGGTAGACTGTTCTAGTTCCACGTGCAATATCTAATGGATCAGTTATCTCCTGTTAATTCTCCATCGCCTTAACCAGGTTTTGAACTCACACACTCTTTGGGTCCTTTCACTAGATCTAACTAACGCCTTTATTCTACGGTGCCATGTGTGATTGAGGACATCTCGGTATGAATTTCTGCGTATTAGAAACCTAATGTCTTCTGCAACCATTTTGTTCATGCTCAAATTGCAATTTTTTTGCTATTATCATTGCATGTTTTTTCTTTACCAGAGCTCATATTGCAATTTTCGTTGTTATTATTGCTTTTCTCTGGCACACATATTAGTGGTTCCCATAATGTTTTCATTTCTATGCTCGGTCGGCTCAGGAGATTTTTGTGGCCTAGCATATGTGCTTAAGTTTACGAATTTTCCAATGATGTTCTTTGTCTATGATTTCAACCTGATCCCACAGAGGGCGGTGATCTCTCTTTTCTGTCCATAGGTGGTCAGCCACGTCTGATTTTTCCACTTCCTCTCGTGTTACAGCTTTTTGGTGTTTCGTTTTTATTTAAACTTAATGAGAAAATGTTGGAAATGTAGGGAAGAGAATGCTCCATTACTTTCAATTCTGTGTTCTTTATTTTTCATTGGTAAGATAGATCGCATACGTTATTGACTTCTGGTGTTAGTCAGTATGTGTGTGTGTGACCGGAACATTTCCTTTCGCAACTCATTTCCCAAAATTATGACGAAGCTGAAATAAAAGCGAAACATGTTCAATTTATAAACGTTTCCCATTTGATCCTTATTTTATCAAAAGATTTTATCTAAGTTTAACATAAAACATGTCTGCATGTATGTATATATATATCGATGAATGTATCTCCGTGCATAAATGTATATATCTATGTAACGCGCATGGATGTGTGTGTATGAATGTATGTATCCATATGTATTTATAAATGTATTTGCGTATATATTTATGCATGTGTATGCCTCATTCTCTCGCTCTCCCTGTGTTAAGAAAGAAATGGTAAAAAAAAACAACAACACACAAGAGAAGACAGTCATGGTGTGTGGAAGGTGGAGAATAGGCGGTAAAAGGATGTAACCTAAGGCTAGGTATCTGAACTTTGTTTTCATGTCCCGTTGAACTTAGATCCGGCCTTCTCGTACGAGATGTTGGCTGCGAAGGTCTTGTGTGCGTGAGCTTCTCTGCTCTTTTGAGCAAGTCAGCCGGGGTTACCGACCGCTGTCACTTGCACTGAGTCAAGGAAGCAGCCTCCTATATGGCGGCACCAAAGAGATTTTTAAGCTGGGGGCCGCCGGCAGTATCAACGTTTAGTGGAAATAACAAACAAAGGAAGAGATGAGATTGTGGAAATTGGTTTCAGTGACAAAGAAGAAGAAGAAGAAGAAGAAGAAGAAGAAGAAGAAGAAGAAGAAGAAGATAAAAATACTCAGGAACTTTTCAAGACGATTAAGAAGCGAGTGTAGCGGAAAAATGATTAAAAGTCTGAACAAAAAAATAATTGAAAAGATTTTTCCTCAAGGAAATTTCTAAGAACAGTATGATAGTAAGATTTTTAGAAAGATTAAACATTCGAAGGAAGAAGAAAAAAAGAAAGAAAAAAGGCTAATAAAGAATGTAAGAAAAGAAAAGAAAGAAAAACGAATGAAAAAAGATTAAATGAATTTCAGTGTCAATAGAGAAAGGAAAGAAAAAAAAGAAAGAAAACAAGGAAGAAGTAAACTATGATTAAAAAAAGAAGAAGAAAAGAAAAAATCAAGAGAAAAATGAAAGAAAGAAGACCTCGGAAATACTTTATAGAAAAAGTGAAATCAGATTGAGTATGAAAAAGAAAAAGAGAAAAAGAAAAACTAAGAAAAAAAATGAAGGAAATTATAAATAAGGTCCAAGAGAAAAAAGAGGAAAGAAAGAAAAATGTCAAAATTATATTTTGAAAAAAAAAAAAAAACAAATAGAGGAAAAGAAGAAAATAAATGAGAATTAAAACAAAAAAGGAGAAAAAAAAGGAAAATGATGAAGAAACGGCTGAAAGGTAGGTGAAATAAGGAAAAAATACAGAAGGAAAAAGAAGGAAGAAAGAAAGCAAAAAAAGGAAGAAAGAAAGAAAAAAGGACGAAGAGACAAGAAAAAAAGAAGAAACGGCTGAAAAGTAAATGAAGAAAGGATAAAACAAAAAGAAAAAAAAAAAAGAAAAAAGAAAAAAAAGAAAGAAAAAAGAAAGAAAAAGATGGAAGAAAGATAAAAATTCAAGGAAAGAAAGAAGAAAAAGCAGTAAAAGATAAGAAAAGAAAAAAAAGAAGAAACGGCTGAAAAGTAAATGAAGGAAGGAAAAAGAAAGACAGTGAGAAAAAGAAAAAGAAGAAATAAAGTAATACATTATAAAAAGAAGACAGAAAAAAAGAAAGAAAAAAAGCAGTCAAAGAAAGGATCAAAAGTACGTTATAAAAAAGTTAAGTGTTAAATGAAAAGAAAAAATGAAAATGACTGAAAAAAAAAACAAGGAAAAATAGAAAAATAGATAAGATGATTGAAAGACAGAAAAAATGAATACATAAAAAGAAAAATGAAGAAAGAAAGAAGAAAGAAAGATTAAAAAATAAAGAAAGACAATTTTGAAAGTTGATTATTATAACGAGAACAAATCAATGTCGGAGTGCTTTGAACAGTACCAAAGAGTTTGATGTTAAGCGTTTAAAACTGGAAGTCCGAGTAAGAATTGAAACTACATCAATTATATATATATATATACATATAGCGATTTTCTAAGCGCTGCTTAGATGTGGCACCAGGCCGGAAGTATGGAGCACCCAGTGAGGAATGAACTCACTACTCAGTCGTAATAGATTCCAGCGAGACAAGATTGCTAATCATTACACCACGCTGAGGTGCCCAAAGTGATTTTCCAAGCATAGCTTAGATGTGGCCCAAAGCCGAAAGTATGGGGCACCCAGTGAGGATCGAACTCATGACTCAGTTGTAATTTTTCTAGCGAGACAAACTTGCTATATATATATATATATATATATATATATATATATATATATATATATATATATATATATATATATATATTGTTACGAACTTATAGCATATAGATGAACCACGGGTTTAAAAAAACGGAAAATGTGGGATCATTTCTCGGTCTTCACTCAGAAATGGAAGCAACACAAATCAACGAAGAACAGACACAAGACGATGGATTTCAAAATAAAGCATTTATTTATAAATATATATAAAGAAATAAAGAAAGAAAAAAAAAGAACATTCATTTAACAAAGGGGAAGGAGATCATTAAAGAATAGAAGGCGCGAGCGAATACATACATATATGAAAACAGATCAAACCAAGAGAATCAACTTATCTTTCAGTCGAGTTGATATCTTCGCACAAAGTTTTGATTCGCCGAAGCGAGAGTTCTGATGATAAAACAATATCTTGGGCGTCCGACAATTTTCCTGGATTTCTTTTCTTTTCACAAGTGTTCGAGGGTCCACAGCATTTCATACAGGCGTTTGGTTGGGTTGATCTGTTCCATAGCAGTCCTCTCAACCCTAGTCGACAGACTTCGCTGTCTTCTTCATCTCAGTGGGCAGTCTGACGATTTTTTTTCCATCGATGTTCAACTGCCGCTGGTCAGGGGGGAAACTGAAAATCCTTTTTTGGTTTTCGCTGTCCTCAAAGACAGTCACGTGGGTTCCCTTCGTCCTTGACCGGGTACGCAGGAGGATGGGGCGCAAATTACGCAGTGTTTGTGTGATGGACAAAAGTTCAATCCACGCTTAGTATGGTCAGATCACGTGAATCGCAGCAGGAGATCCTGAGGGTGCCTGGAATTCACTTACGGTCAGCCGCCTGATAGCTGCGAAATTTTGGAACCAGGTCATTCTTGCGTCGGGTCACTTCAAAGTTCACGGGCCCATGGCTTGTGGGTGGAAGAGTAGATAAAGAGAGAAAGAATTTGTGAAGAGAAGAGGAGGATATGGCTGATCATAGAATATATTCGCTCGCAAGTCGGAAGCATTGGATTAAATTTCTGTTTTTATTTATTTATTTTTCTTTTATATCTAACTAATTTTCTCTTTATTTAAGATTTTACTTTGGGGTGCTTTTTAGCCTAACGCCTATATGGTTAATGAAATCGTGGCTACGTGACAATATATATATATATATATATATATATATATATATATATATATATATATATTGCTATCATTTTCAATGGACAAATTATTTTCCACCCTCCAACCTTTCTCTCACAGACGGAATGTGGCAAGTGCTCGGACGAGCTGCATTATTTGGTTTTGACAGTTTTAACCTTCATGGCTAGGACACACCATGCTACTCAAATCGCAGCAAACCACCCCGTTCATTCTGTATTCTAATGATGAGAAGTCCCATTCGAACAGTTTCATTCCACTGCACTGTGGAATTCACTCTCAAGATACACCGATCACTATAATCTTAACCTGTTCAAATCTAGCGTTAACTGTTATCTTCCCCTCATATCCATCTTCACTGACTCTTACCCTGTCACTCTATACCTCGAGTGGCTCTTGGGCCTTGTAAAAGGTGAACCTCACTGTAAAAAAACAACAATCACATTGTGTGCTGAAATATTCTAAAATCATTTTTTAGGTTAAAAATAATAGCTATCTTTGATGTTTAATCATCAAGGGAGAAATCATTAATTTTTTAGATTAAAGACATCGAAAGAAATGGTAGGCCAGCGCTACTATCTTCTTCTTTATGTGTTGTTTCCCCTCAATGCATAGGCGGTCATGGCTCACCACAACTTCCTGTCCTTTGTAGCTCTAAATAAATTTTGCCATTTCCTTATTTCTCCTAAACCCTGTTCTACGATCCATTTTTTTCCAAGCTCGTCAAGTGTGTTATTCGCTGTTTTCCTCTTACCCTCAATCAGTCCTGTGAGTACCAGATTTTCGAAGCCCACTTTCGCCATTATATGCTCCAGAAATTTCAACTGTCTCTTCTTGATGTTAGGTATAAGTTTCATTTTGTTTCCATTTTATAAAACCGCGTCGTTGCTCACATGTTCGCTTCACTCTTCTGTAGAACCACATTTCTGTTGCTTCAAGTATCTTCCTCATCTTTGAGGAAATTGTTCAGCATTCACTGCTATCGCGTAACAGATCAGTACATCTTTCTTTGTTTCTAATGAAATTTTTCTGTTTCTTAATACTCTGCTTAGATTTTGGGAAGCATCTTTGTCTATCTTAGCGCATCTTCCGATTTCAGTGTCGCATTTTCCGTCCTCTGTTATAATACTTCCCAGATACTTAAATTTTTGTGGTTGTTTGATTTTAAATGATAAGCTTTATCTGTGTATATCGCTCAAATATAACCGATGCTAAAAGACGACGTAAAACTGTTGCATATTTGTCTCGAGCACAAGAATTTGCTGCATCACTATATATCAAATAATTAGAGTGAATGTACATGTCATATCGCTGGTCAAATGATGATGGTGATATATGTTGATGGTTAGTGTTGTGGATTCCGAGATGAATTCGGTCTCCAATGAATGACAAACGCAAGAAATAAAGATGAGAAATTAAATGTATTTACACAATAATACAATGGGTAATTCTGTTAGTAAATCCAGGAACGCGTAATAATATATATATATATATATATATATATATATATATATATATATATATATATATAGTCTCGAAGTAGGACTTCTTTAGAGTCTACGTGCTTGTAACTGACTTCTTCCAGCAGTTACCTCACACTATTACTCTACCTCCAACTCAATCACAATCTCTGCTCACTCTCTCAATCTCTTTCAATCTCTGTATATTCTGACTGACACAGGGTATTTAACGGCAACAATCCAAGTAACACTCTGGTCGAGTCCACTTATATGAAAAAGGGGTGGACCCCATAACAGTTAGACAGTTTGTCGTCGACTTACGACCTAAAAAACTTTCGACTTTACGCCCATTCCAGCGAATTGGTATGTCTGTTCATTTCGCCACAACTGCTTCACGGCTGGGAGCGTGATTGTTTTCCAGCTTTGTGTGCGACAATTCCCGCCCCAGCTTCTGGAAAAAGCTAGCAATTTCCAGATGGGATAACAACGTGTGCACGGGCGCCAGATGTGGAAGCATCGAAGCTCAGCATTAGGACCGCCTCGGGAAAACTCATTCTCACACCCCGAGTCAGTTAGTGTCTTTGACATTTTTCTTACAAAAAACCCCCAAAAAACAAAAAACCCAAAGGCTTTCTAATGCACAGACGAAGGGTAGAAATTTATTACAGGCTTTGAATGATGGCGCCGGAAAAGGCAACGGTTAGGAATTTACGGCTTGTACTGGCCGGTTCAAGAGATTCAAGAAAATATTACAAATTCATTATGTTCGTGTGACTAGAGAAACAGCGAGTGCTGATAAGGAAGTGGCCAGTGCAGATGGAGTAGCAGCGAGTGCAGATGGGATAGCAACGTGTGCATATGAGAAAGCAACAGGTGCAAATCGGAAAGCAGCGAATGCAGATGTGGAAGCATCGAGTGTAGAATAGGAAGCAGCGGGTGCAGATGCAGATGAGGAAGAAAAAAAGAGTGCAGAATAGGAAGCAGCAGAATGGGAAACAAGCAGTGCAGATGGGGAAGAAGTCGTTTGCAGATAGATGGAAGCAGCGAGAATAGCAGACTGGACACAGAAATAGAAGCAAGCAGATGTGGGAGATGATGAATGGGGAGCGGATGCAGATGAGGAAGCAGTCAGTTCAGATGGGGGAAACAGTGAAGAATAGCGAATGGATGAAGCATCGAGTGTAGATGAGGAAGCAGCAAGTTCAGATGGGGTAACAGCGAGTGCAGATGGAATAGCAGCGAGTGCAGATGGGGAAGCGTCGTTTGCAGATGAGGAAGTAGCGTGTCAGATGGGGTAGCAGCGAGTGCAGAATATGAAGCAGCGAGTGCAGACAGGACAGAAACAAGTGTAGATGATGAAGCAGCGAGTGCAGACATGAGGAAGCAGTCAGTTCAGATGGGGAAACAGTGTGCAGATGGAGTAGCAGCGAGTGTAGATGAAGAAGAATAGGAAGCAGCGAGTGCAGATGTGGAAGCAGCGAGTGTAGAATAGGAAGCAGCGGGTGCAGATGGGGAAGAAGCGAGTGTAGAATAGGAAGCAGCGAGTGCAGATGTGGAAGCAGCGAGTGTAGAATAGGAAGCAGCGGGTGCAGATGGGGAAGAAGCGAGTGCAAATAGGAAAGCAGCGAGTGCAGATGAGGAAACAACGAGTGCAGATGGAATAGCAGCGTGTGCAGATGGGGAAGCGTCGTTTGCAGATAAGGAAGCAGCGAGTGCAGATGGGGTAGCCGCAGAATATGAAGCAGCGAATGCAGATGCGGTAGTGCCAAGTGCAGATGAGGAAGACAGCCTGAATGCAAATGGTGTATCAGCGAATGCAGATGAGGTAGCAGCAAGTGAAACAGTAAAAATATTTATTAAAAAAAATACAATAATGCCTAAAGGAAAATAAATATAGTTTGCAAAATTAAAATGGTCGTAACCAATCGAAATCGTAAGTCGATGACCTGTACTAGCAAATTCTACTTGTCTATATATAACCGTTACGCTTTGCAAACAACTCCTGACTCGATTACCGTTGCTCAACCGACATCAGGGAATGTCTGTCGCCAGAGTATCTCAGTGTTCGAATGTATCAATATCCAGCTAATCTTTTTAACTTTTATCTTTCTTAAATAATTTTATTAATTTTTTCCATTAATTTAATATGCAGAGAGAGAGAAAGATATATATATATATATATATATATATATATATATAGAGAGAGAGAGAGAGAGAGGCAGAGAGAGAAAGAACTAGACTGAAAGAAAGAGAGAACGAGAGAGACAGAGACGGAGACAGAGAGAGAGGGAAGGAGAGAGAGGGAAGGAGAGAGAGGGAAGGAGAGAGAGGGAAGGAGAGAGAGAGAGGGATGGAGAGAAAGTCAAGCAGATAAACGGGAAAGAGAGACAGTCCGTGTGTGCGTGAGAGCAAGTGAGTGAGTGATAATAAGAGATAGAGGTAGAGAAATAACCTGAAAAATGAGTGTGTGTGAGAGGGAGAGAGAAAGAGAGAGAGAGAGAGAAATAGAGAGAGGCGTAAGTGGTTGGGTGCGTGATATATTCATCTGGGACCATTTTCATTTCATCACCAGTCCTTGGCACTTAAAATGGACATCCCAGTTGGCATGTCAGTTTTGGTTGTAACATTAACTAGATCTTCAAGGGCTGGAGAACACACACACACACACACACATAAACACACCCCTGTGGGCCCTTTCGTCCAACCCTGTCAACCTTACCATCGTTCACCTTTCAACTTTCTTCTCAGGCACAGAACTCGGTCTCGCCTCAGTGTCACGCCGGACAAAACAAAAGTCACAAAACGATGGATTATTTATTTCTTGACCGCTACAAAACTGAAACATGAGAGAAAATGCATGAATTTCTATAAAATCCTCGAGCTGCTTATCCCATTAGTGTATGGAATGAAATCGGAAAGTTCTCGATTGGAGCGTTCAAATGGACGCACAGCTAACGTTCATTTGTACCCAGTAGGGAATTATCAGAATTGAAGAAGTATTTCGCTGTATCCTATTATTATTATTATTATTATTATTATTATTATTTCTTCTTCTTCTTCTTTTTCCCTCTCTCCATTCTTCTTCTTCCTCCCCCTCCTCCCATCCTCCTTCTCATTCTTCTTCTTCTTCTTCTTCTTCTTCTTCTTCTTCTTCTTCTTCTTCTCGAGGATTGGGGCGTTTCCCAACAGCGCTGGTTCGAACGGGTGTGACACGCTGGAATGATCACGTTTGCTTTTTGATTCATGGTCACCCAAGGTTATTTACGCGTAAGTGAATGTAACAAATTTGACTGGAATCCGAACTTGATTCATCTAACTCCTTATTCCGAGCCATTACCCATTACACCAGCCACACATCCCAACTTACAGCTCCTTGTATTCCCAAACGGCCATCTAAATAACTAGATAGACACGACTCGACGTTGTCAACAAGATATGACTGTAAGTGCATATTGGAGTCTTCTTATTCTTCTCCAGATTTATTCGAGAGAAATGGGAATTTTTCGTCTGTGAAGATAGGGTTTGCAAGGTTGAAAACAATTCATCAGCCGTGCTTTCAAAAGAAAAAACTTTTTTCCCCAATTTCTTTGAGAAGAACTTTCACTGAATCCATATTACTGTACTAGTTTAGACTAGTTTAGACAAATTCGGTAATGTTAGTTGCATTCATGTGTAGATTCCATATATGCAATGAAAACAAGAAAAAAGCAAAACAAAAAAACTACTGAATATGATATTTGTGTAACCTATAATTAAATCTAGATATTTTGTAATAAAGACAGACCAGATGCCGCAAAGGAAGTATAATGAACTACGTTTAACTGTACAAAATAAGAAGGTGATAACCTGTAGATGGTTTGTAGGGAATCCTTGACTATGAACTCTATCTGTAAAGAAAACGACTGATTCGAATAAGTACCGTTCCCATACAAGCCGGTCATAGTAAAATCGACAAAAAGACTTTAGAAGATTACATAAGATAAAGCTCATAATATTCCGTCAGGTTAAAGCTCGACCACATTTTTATTTGGTAACAAAGCAAAAATTGTTACGACTTGGTCGAGGCATTTCGCCAATCTGCAGTTGTGACTAGACATACCATCTTCAGATTACCATTTACCAAAGAATTTCAGTTTCCTAGTAGACACCTACAGCTGTTCTTCGCTAAGAAGGATAAACAAAACTCTCAGGTGGAATTGGAATTTACTGGAACATAGGAGAATCTAGCGAAAGCTATTTTGTTTAATAAAGTTAATGTTGAACAAAGTAGCCATTTATTCATTTCAATAAATCGAAGGAACTTTTTCGCTCATCCAATACAATCGAGACAACAACAATAGAATGGGAAGAATATTCGTCAAGCCCCTGTAAATATTGTGTGCAATTCTACGAGTGAGTGCTGAAAATTTCTTGACCTGAACAACTCTTCACTCCAACATATCTATCTATCTATCTATCTATCTATCTATCTATCTATCTATCTATCTATCTATCTATCTATCTCAGCCATTCTATCTATCTATCTATCTATCTATCTATCTATCTATCTATCTATCTATCTCAGCCATTCTATCTATCTATCTATCTATCTATCTATCTATCTATCTATCTATCTATCTATCTATCTATCTATCTATCTATCTCAGCCATTCTATCTATCTATCTATCTATCTATCTATCTATCTATCTATCTACAGGTTCTCCTCAAAAATGTGCTCACTTTTTGACTTCGTCGTGAATATTTATACACCTGCATTTAATTTCAATTACCATTTAATTGAACCCATTAATCTTCTTTGTAAGTTATATAATTAATTATTTTTAATTTCAACCATTAAGCTTGTTTGCAAGTCAATAAATGCTACCTTTAATTTCATTTAAAGTGTGAATACATTTTTCAGGAAACCCTATATATATATATATATATATATATATATATATATATATATATATATATATATATATCAGGGGATCAATTAAAATACGCGACCATAATTTCGACCTGACGGTTTCTTTGGGCGATACTTTTAAAATGACCGCTTTAATGTTTTTTTTTAAAACAAAAAACACAAAGAATTCTACATAATTATCTTTTTTAAAAAAAATAACGGCTCCCGATGATTGAAAGGCAAATTTTACAATGAATGCCAAAAATTTGTGCTGCAGTAATCAAGGGTAAAGGAGAATATTTTGACGAGAGAAAAATTTAATCATAAAAGCAGTTTTTTTTTTGTCATAATTACATTTCCAATATAAAATCATCTCTCACCTTTTTTTAACGATGTATATGATAATCTATTATTTAAATACAAAACAGCGTTTTTTGTGTTCAATTTAAAGAAATTACCAGGGTTGACCTGAAACTTTTGAACTTTAGTGCATATATATATATATATATATATATATATATATATGATAATAAGCATTTTTGTACCATTATTGAAAGACGAAAGGAAATCAACGTGTTTATGCATATTATATTTATCCCGAGTACTTTCGACAGCCATGCCATGACACAACATTGTTCACTACACATATAAGAAATTTAATTTTCAGATGACCGCAACAAATTTTTGTCTTTCACATCAATGAACACTACAATATCTATCCTGTAATTAATAATACCCTGATGATCATATTGTGATATGTCGAAAGTACTCGGTAAATAAATACAATATCTATCAACACGGCGATTTCCTCTCATCTTTCAATAATGACAGAAAAAAGCTTATCTGTGAATGTGAAAGGATCCTACCGAGAATAAGTAGACAGAATATGTCCAAATTATTCAACGAAACATGTCTCAATATATATATATATATATATATATATATATATATACACAGAAGGAATATTTTATCAAATGTTTACTTTTTTAGCGCTCTTTCGGACACTTCTCTAGCCATTTTAAAGTGGGGGTGGTTTTTGATGTTATTTATTTTCATGTTTTGACTGTGTGAATTGACATCATTATCCGTGATGTATACAATCACACTTCTCTCCCACCCATCAATATTAAACTCACTATTTAAAAAAAAACATTATCAGCATGTTCCACTCAAGTACATTTCCATTATCACCTAGGCAATATTTATACTCAGACGGTATCGCGATGGGATATCCTTTAGGTCCCCTTTTTTCTAATTATTATATGGCACATTTAGAAAATAAAATACTTGATGGCACTAATAAGCCCCCTATATAAGTAAGATACATTTTGGCTAAAATATTGAGCATATTACAAATTTATAAACAAATTTGAAAGTCACTCCGTCCTCAAATATACACTAGAACTCATTATTAATTATACTGATGTACTGATTGATTCCAGCACACATAAACTTATTACTTCTCTATGTAGAAAAACCTCTAGCATTAACTCGTGTCTTCTTCATTATAATAGTGAATGCTGTTAAGGATATAAGTTAGCTGTTATAAACAACTTAATCCAACGCACACAAATAATATCTCCTTCCAAAATCATATTCCATAAAGAATTACATATCACCAAACACTCGTTAATAATGGATTCCATAAATCCGTCATCGATCAAAAAAAATTAAAATGTATTTCAATAAACTTAATAATACCACTAACAAAATTGGTAATATTAATAATTGTAACCATAATACTATTAACTTATAATATTGTATCCAAATTACAAACAATGAAACATGGAAAAACATAATAGGTAGAAATGTTAAACCCATTAATAATTATATACAAGTTAAGTTCATCATATATTATTGTTGAAACTTGAATAAAGCATGGAATAATAATAATACAACACAAAATGTACTTAAACAAAATGTATTAAAACAAGAAAGTGTACACAATATTTACAGATAGTTTTGGTATATTCTTGGGAAGACCGTTCCTGTAGAATGGGTTAACTTAGTCGCAATCGGGCAGAGTCTCTGGATTGGATCTCTTCTTCCTCCTCCGTCTTCCCGGTACCAACCATATTTATATGGTCGGTACTCCACTATGTAAATTAGGTGGATCGTACCACAACAATTATAAAACTTAAAAAGAATTGACC